TATAAAGCTTTGCTTTCAGGATCGTTTTCAGGCCTGGTTTCCTTTTCAATACCTTTTTGTTTGACTTGTTTACTGTACACTTTATAACACCATCAGAAGTTTCCCATCTTAACAGGAAGTGGTTGGCTCAGGCTCTTTTCTTTTTGCGAACGCCCACTTCCTCTGACTTTGATAAACACATTTGTGGTTTGGTGCACTAACCCCATCAGATAAATTTCCCCAACTGCTGTCGAAGCTGGTGTCCTCAAATTACAAAATGATTTTCTGGGTGGTTTTGTGACACAAATGCGATTTGGAGGCACCTAATTCTAATAGATAGGATAGCATTGTTCTAAATGAGATATAGAATTATCATGAACACTTTCTTTCTCAGTACAAAGTTGCCCTGCATTTACAACAATACTCTGGTTAAATGAAGAAAAAAAGGTAAGCAAATATGCTGTAAATGGGTCAAGCAAGAAGTAATAACTGCGTTCGACCAAGACAAATCTCTATCTTGTTCCACATTTTCCATGTATTGCATGCTTTCTTTGTAGGCCGTAAATCTTATTCTCCATGCATGCACAATTAGAGTTCAACTCACCATCCAAATTGCAATATGAGTAAAATGGATTGCATGGTTAATCATGTGCTTTTGCCGTTATTATAAATCTCATGTGGATGCATGATATAAAACAAATCATTTTAGTGCTTTATTTTTGCAGACAGATCAACAGAACCTTCACAAAATCAGAAAACTCGCTCAGGAACGAGACACAGCTAGCTGGATTCATGCTGCAGTCATTCTGCTCCCTGTGGAGCTCGAGATGATTCATTCCACAACTGTTAGGTTTGGTAGCGAGTGGGCAGATGTTGAGTGAATCTGAGAAACCAAATCAACACACTCAGGCCTGAGCGCTCCTTCCCTTGAATGACTTACTAATGAGTTGAAAGTGTCTCTCTCCTGAAATACCAGCACATTCAAAGTTTACTTCTGAAAAACAGCTGTGCGCTTTAAGACCACAGTCATTTCTTGCCTTTTAATAGACACCATGATTGATCCAAACTGATTGTGAATAGATAAATTCGTGGGCTACCTTCTCTGAAAATGGGGTTGTGGAGAATGAATCATGCCTTGACTTACTGAGCAATTTAGAGAAGACTGACATAATTGTGCTTGTGGGTCAAATACACTTTCAGAACAAAAGGTGCATTACTTATCGAGAGTTATTAGAAAGAGTTTCCTGAAGATGATTAAAATCAAGGGCCTCATTCACCAACTGTTCTTAAGAAGAAATTTCTTCTTAAATCCACTTACGCAGTTTTCACAAAGACTCATTAATATTTTCTTATTTGAGATTTGTTTTTAGGTAAGAACAGAATCTACACACACTCAAGAGCACAAAAGTGCAAACAGTTCTGTGGTTTAAGGACACGTCATGAATCTGAAGTAGACTTTTTCTTCCGTTCTCAAGAACAAATTTAAGAAAAAACTTAGGATGATCTTGGTGAATCAAACCCAACAGCTTGTGTTTGGTAATATAACAGTGTCGTGTCACCATTGCAGTTAATTGTAATGACAGATGTCATAATGTTTGATGTTACATTACAGTGCAAATGTAAGAGATCACCTTTCATCTATTCAATTAGATCATTTTAGTTATTCATTTTTCAGCATCAGGAAGAAAAGAGTTCACTATTAGGCAAACAACAGGCCTTTTTATTTATGTGTTATAAATGCTTATTAATGCCTTTTGGTCTTTAAGACCTAATTACTATAGTTAGCTGTCACAACGTCAAACATTATGTTGTGACAATAAACAGTAATGATAAACATGATATTGTTATATTACTGAATGTAATCTATCATAACAACTTATGACAGTATATGATATCTGCCAAGACATGTTTATGGCATGATTATGTTTATGTTACATAGCAAATTATAAATAAAATGTTACCAAAAAAGTGGTGCTTTGAATTTGCATGAAAAGTGGTTGCACAGGAACACAATGTGTGACATCAGCACAATCCTTGTGAAAAGTAAGCAAACTGAAAGACAAGACTGTGTTGATATATTATATTCGTGTGCACTCGACACATTTGAGTCATATAAATTTAAAGCAGCACTTTTTCAGTGGAGTAGCTGTGGGGATGAACTCAACACCGTCAATCTTGACAGTTACTGCATGGAAATAAATGCTTGCACAGCTTTCAGCTGATGCATGTACTGTGCATACAGTCATTGTGGGTATTTCACACACTGGTTAAGTCACACATCAGAATGAAGAACACGCTGACGCCTCTGGGGCTCACACGCTGTTACAGAACCTGAAAAGTGACCCAGGTGTGCATACACCAGCTTCTTATTTATAATGCAGTTACAGCCATAGTGAGCACATATTTCAAGAAGAAACAACGCATTTGTTCTGCATACAATAGGCTGAAAAACCGCCTTGGCTCTCTGTGTTGAGAAAATTAAAAATGTATAGTCTATGCAGACCACTGGGGTCTCTGAACTCCTTGCATGTGGTATCCATGGCAACATTTGCGGTGCAAAAAAATCGGTGGACCTCTTTGCATCACTGCCAGTCTGGGTGATTTTCTGGGTTGACCTACGAGGATTATTTACTAACGCAGTCAACACATTGATTGGCTGTCAAGGGAACAGCAGCTGACCTCTATATTGAAGAGGTCTTAGTGTATCATTACAAAACCCCTCACAATCAATACAAGCCTCACATATAAGCCCACATCCAATCTGTGGGGTGAGGGAGGTGAACTGTGTAGACTGAGATGAAAACAGAGGCTAGAGGAAAATTAATTACCCAGTCGGCATCCATTCTTTTCCCCTGAACCTCGATTGCTCTTGCTAAGTGTCTTAAATTGCATTTGTAGCCACAGCGAGTTAGCGTCACAGCCAAGGACTTATTTTATGAGCTAATGCTCATCAAAATTATTGACTAGATCATAAAGAGAAGAGAAATACAACTCGTCAAATCATAATCATTAAAACAATGAAACTCAATAAGAAATAACATTAAATATGAGTGAAAATGAGCCTGTGTTAAAGGCCCCTATCACTGAAAACTGAGGTTTCTGGAGGTTTTTTTTTTTTAAATAATGTGTGCACACTGGTAAAGGTCCAGAACATACTGCTCACTCCCCAGTCCATATATAGATACTAAGTGGCAAAAAACAGCATGGTTAACTTTTTTGTTTACTTGTGATGTCACAAAAAACAACACATTTCCATATATTCAACAATTCATCCTACAGCAGCTTAGCTCCGCCCATTCATGCTGAAGTTATAAGGAGTATTTTGGCCCATACTGCTTTTTGAATGAGGCACAATATATGGCCAATCAGAACAGAGGTAATTTACATATTGTATTAAAGGCACAGTTTTTAAACTTGTTTTAAAAGCCAAGTTTGGAAAAAGTAATGTTTAAAGAGATTATGACTGAAAAATGTAGGATATGGGCCCTTTAACAATCCAATGTGCCTTAATCTACAGGTACTTGCATAGGCTGCACTGTCAGGGCCTTTTATCAGATATCAGCTTGCGCTTTTGGATTCTGCTTCGGATCTTCTGTTCAGTGAGGTGTTGGCATGTGAGGCCCTGTGGTGCACATCTAAGAACCATTTTCTAGATTTACTTGCAATGGTTAAGGTTCTAGCTCTGGATTTGGGAGGGGACAACTTGTTCTTGAATCAGTTCAGGAGAGCCTCTTCTACTCACGCCCTGTGTGTTGCTGTTACACCCATCTTTGGCGCCCCTACCAACGCTGTAATAATGGCACCATGCCAGAGATGGAAATAATGAGGCAAGAAGCTGTAAAATGTTATGAACCAGCCACATTATGAAAAGGTAAAACCTCAAAGTAAATGCTTGAAATAAGGGAGCAGTGAGACTGGCATTCCACATGTTATATTTCGTTATGTCTTATTTCACACACTTATGCCTTAACAAATTACTGTATAGAGCTGTTGACACTTTAAATATAACAATAAAGGCAATAACTAAACAGACACTGAATTGGTAGGAGTGTTACAATCAACCAGTGCCTGATGCTTTTATGTTATGCTAACATTTGCAAGGAAACACATAGATGTAAAGGGGAATTCCACCAAAATTTCAAACTACCTGCAAAAGTCAACTGTTCAGATGTAAACACTGGTACACTGCAGAGAAACCTACCAACTCAGATTTCATTACTGTGCTGGTGACAGGAACCAGAGGTTGCAATGTCTACAACATTTACATTTTATTTGCTATCTAAAATGGCCAGTAAACCTCAGATTTGTATATGCTGATAAATGTAAAATAGTGGTAAATCTGCAAAATAAAATTTGCTCTGCATGTACCTCTCTGATATGACTGGATTAAAAACATTTTAGGCCAAAATCTTATTGCAAAAGTATCAGAAAACAATTTCTTAAACAACGTATTCATAACCATTTCATTTTTTCAACTTTCTATGAGGTAGCTTTTAGAGGCATTAAACTTTTCTGATGTGTGGTTCTTATCACCAAAGCTGTGAACAGTTCTGACTCAGCAAGTTTCTCTAGAATGGAGCATTTCACACCAAACCACTCAGAATGACTTGGCTCACACCTCAATCATGTAATGATGAATTCTGAAATATCGGTGGAATCCCCCTTTAATGCCATCCACCACAGTAACTTTGTAATAAAACTGTTGGCGCTACAGAAACAGCCTTAGGGCTGAAATACTTAACCGAAAACATCTTAATGTTGATTTATTTGTGTTAGAAACCCATCCGTTGTAATTAGCAGTTACAGCGTAGCTGCTACCTGGTGTGTTGTGGCTGCTCCGGAGTTGACGGCTAGAGGGCAACACGGAGCAGCCGCGAGATCTTTCCCACCCGTTTTACTGTTACTCCGCCTCCCTGCGCTGGGATTGGCTAGTAGTTCGTACTCGCAAGGCGGGCTGCTTGAGAGCATGAACCACGAGCCAATCCTAGCGCCGTATGAGAGACACTAGCCAATCGTAGCACAGGGGGCGGGGCTTGACGGAATACAGGTGGCAAAAAAATCACCCCACCGAGCAATCCACTCGTGCTCTGACCCAGACTCGAATGCGCGTTTCTGGAAGAGATCGTTATCAAAAAGAGTCAAGAATCGAAAAACTAGACATATTGCGGGAAACCGAGACACAGTCGGAGGCAACGAGAAAAAGCGGGACGCCGTAACTTTGTAGGCAAAGCCTGACTGAGTTCAACCCAAAAGGGAGGGAATATCAGAACAGATTTTTTTTACTTGTTTTATTTTTGCACGCCTGTGGTGCCAACCGAGCGGGACTTTGAAGACTGAGGATACTAACGCGCGTGTTTTCTCCGCAGTGGAAAAGACTCGAACACTGCCCCCCCCCTCTCTCTCTCTCTCTCTCACACACACACACACGCACACACAAGTCTGGGATTTGAGAGAGAAGCAATGCAGTTCTGTGGGCAGCGAGGCGGCGGGGTTTTCTGCAGCTAAGCTCGGCAGACAAGCTGAAGCAGAGATCACAGTTTCTGCTTAAATCTGTACGTACAGCGAGCCGCAGCCTTGGCGCAAATCAGCGTCTACGTAACGTTTTTTTTTCCTGTCCTCTTATCGACTCCTCATCGACTGTGTGGCTTCCCCCCCTCTATAATATCATCGGAGATTTCGATTGACGCCATTTTACGCTGATAAACATCGTCTTCTTTTAAATGCATCGTTCAGTTTGACGGATTGCAGAGTTGCCATCGGTCCCGCTAGCGATCGTATTCATGTCACTGGATGGATTTGCTCTTAACTACGTGACCAGCAGCTTCGGAAATGGGTGAGTTAACCTAACGTTACCTCAGAGCAGCGCTTTTCAAATAGTCATAAAAAATCCTGGGTTTAAATCCTGTTCTGAGGTAACCGTCGCCGTTGCTAACGTTATTTCACGTTTGTAGGGACGAACATGGCTGGTCAAATAAGCCTGGGGCTCGAAATGACTCTTAATGTAGGGGGAGAAGTTGAAAACTGCTATAACTAACTAACTAACTAACTAGCCCTCTAACCTACAGCAGAGGAGAGAAGTGTCTCAGCTAACAGTCTGTGTTATTTTGGCTGTGGTGGAGCAGCTAACCTAAGCTAGCGGTGGGCTAGAGAATTAGGACACGTTGGCTGTAACTCTTCAGAGGAGGGAAAAGCTCTCCCACCTTGGCTTCCTAGAGGACGACAGGGCTTTGGAGCGGGGTGAAAGCACAGCTCGGGTGTTTTACATGCTGGGTTGAGGTTCCTCTCTCGGTAATTTACCGTCATCTCGATTCGGTTCCCCGCTGAGGCGGGTAGGCGGCCAGCCAACGCCAAACCGAGCCGTTTCCACTACGAGCCAAACCGTGTGGGCTTCACCTCCACGGCCTCCTCACTCTCGGGCCACGCTTGTTTTGTCTGAAACGTAGAGAAACTGCGTGGGAGATTTGTTGAATTAGCCTAATTTAAGTCAGAGCTAGAGCTCATCTGAAGTGTTTTCATTCGTTATCAGACGGCAGACATCAAGAGAGATTATGAAGAGGCTTCAATTAAGACCTGGATTTCGAGACACGGTTCAAATTAGGAGGATAATATTAAGACCACGAAGAAAAGGAATAAAAATATACCAGTATTATTACAGTACAGCTTAGGCTTTTACATGATTTCAGCGTCCAAAAGCACACAGTACTGCACTCTGTATGTTATACTAATGGGTGCACTACTATTAGTACTGGAGTAGTATTTTAATATACTATTTAATATGCGGTTTTGGAAGCAGCCTCTGTTTTTAGTTTTGATTGGCTAGAATCCCGCCCAGTCTAAAGGGGGCGGAGCTTAGGCCAGGTGAAGGTTTCTCTGCTTCATCTTTCACTATTAACCCATGTTAATAGTGCATATGTGCAAACTAGTCTTACAGGGAAGTGCACTCTGATGAAAAGGTGAAAGGCCACCAGGTAACCCAACACATGCAGATCTGCACAGCTGTAGTAGGACTACAGATTTTCGAAAAATGTAAATATGTGCCAGCTGCATAATGTGGCGAGCGTGGTTGCAGCTGTCGCAGGATTATGAAGGAGGGCAATAGTTGTTTACCTCCACCAGCAGGAAATAAACAGGGGTGTAACAATGCATTGTGGTATTGCAATATTGCAAAACTGATGTGTGCATCGTAGAGCTGTGACGATGCATTGTGCAGGATGGACTTTATGCTATCATAAGATTGTCTGAACACCAGAGTTTGCAACCAAAATATAAATAAATGCATAATACAAAAAAAGGAGGTGCAAGTATTACACATGTATTAATGTATCCTTGTAAGATAACTTTGACAGTGTTGTCATTAGTGAATCACAGCGTGGGAACCATTGACAGGCTTTATGAAAGCTGTTTCAGACTCAGCTTTGATGTCGCTCCAGGGTTCACTACTGATGTTTTTAATTAAAATAAGGGCGAGGTCAATAAGAGAGAGGTTTGTCCCAAAACACCTGCCCATTGATTACATCGGCATGGTGAGCGTTGTCTCTTGGACAGTTCACTTACCTGAACCAACTGAAGATTTGTAAGATGTGGTTGCCATCATCTTGGAAATGGAGACTAATGGTATGTATTAGCCCTGGGCAGGACTGAGGCATGCATAAAAATGACTTACATTGTTTCCCATAACTTTAGTTGCCATGACAACCAGACTTTCTGACTTGCATCAGGTTTGCCAGCTCTGGGACGATGCGGGGGCCATTAGTGACGGTGATGGCCACCCTCATTTTTCTGTAAAGCTTTTTGGAGCAGAGATTTTACCAGCTGTGTTGACTTGTGCTTTCATAATTCAGAGTACGCAGAGATAGTGTGGTTGATTTGTGTAGTCCAGACTATGTAAAAGGAGCCACATGGAGTTTCTCATCGTTTGGTGGACGTCATTCATCAAAATCCCCAAGATAGTCACGATCAACCAGAGCAATTACAGTTGTTACTAAAATCCTGCCCAGAGAAGACAAAGCAAAAAACATATTGCTTCCTTATACAGCATATTTGATTTCCACAGAAGGAACACAGTGCTATTTGACTAAAGCACAAATCCAAAGTGATGTTTATGTGTGTGAATAGATCTCCCTCTGTTCCTGGCTGGGGCTAGTTTCGCTGGAGGACAGCCAAGTCCTGACAGGAGACAAAGGAAGAGGGGAAGATATCCAAGGACAAATCTCATTTTTGGCAGCCGTTCCAAACGGAGTATCAGAGCAAGAACACCTTTTGGCAGCGAGACACAGAGGAGGAGGAGGAGGACAATCTCGTTTTTTTTTCTGTCTCCAGCCATTTTGTTTTCCACACTGTGGTTGAAATTCCTGTCTCTCCTCATATAAGAAAAATCAAGCTTGACAGTGATGCATTACTTACTGTGCTAAAAGAAAACTAAACAAGGGAGGGAAGTAAGGATCTGCCTATTAAATGACACTGTACTGACACCACACTGGAAACCAAAAGGGGGAGGGAGTGGCATTAAGATTCATACAATGCATGATATATAGATTGTTCAGCACCAATGGGTTTGTTACAGGATAACTAGACAGTTATGCTAAGCAGCCACAGTGATTGGATGAAGGTGTTATTACATGTTAACCTGTGTTGGCATGGAAACCTGTTTCTGAGTTTAACCCCTTGGCCGGGGCCCGCAGGCAGTCCCAAAGTTTTAGTACACACTTCGATAACCTATAGAATAGAATATCCCAACCAGTTTGCACTGAAGTACCTGTAGTTACTGAGTAATAAGCCTTGATATGTATTAAGACTGGGATTTTAAGGGTTAAGATGGTGTTTCAGTTTTTATTTACGTTTATTCCAAGCCAGGTGAAAACTGGTGTGTTTGACATCATTAACTGGCCAATTGTTTGATTAAAAGAATCACCATTAGTGGAAGTTTGAAGCTCTTTGGATTTTGCAGGGAGATTTAGGCCTGGTGGGTGTTTTTTTTTGCTTTTGGCAAAAGATGCTTTTGCTGAGTTAGCTTAGTCAAGTGGGACCAGTCATTAGTTTTCAGCATTTGGCCTGTTGCGGTATTTCTCAGACTGGATTCTAGGTCATGCCCCCATCCATGTCTGACGTTCTGCCCCGTCACATCCAAGCTCCAAGAACGAGGGAATATAATCATGGACAGCAACATTGGCATGTGGCCGTCATGTCTAAACCAACTAACGTCATCCATTCATCTGAGCAGCAGTGGATTATATGTTCCTTTTCGACCTCTGATGTATTGTGTACTGTGTTTAGCTGGCGTAAGCTCGCAGTTTTGCATCTGTAGTGCATTGGATTTATGGCCTGAGGTCTGTCTTGAACAAGTGTGGCTTGAGAGATGAATTGAGTATTTAGTGGAGGACTTCCAGGCATTTGTTTGGCTTCTCTGAGAGAGCTGTCAAGCCTGCCACTCTGGAGAGGCGGATCGCTAGTGTGGGGGGAATGCAGTCACTTCCCCTTCTACCCAGGGGGTGAGCTGGCTATTCTCCTGGCAGGCTCCTTCCAGAAAGTTCTCATCTAAAGAGCTTCTGAATATATTATTGGGCTTGTAATTGACAAGGCTTCCACTGGGGTCCCATTGATGCTGCTCGCAATGAATAGAATCTAATGAGACAAGTATTGAATGCTTTTTGGTTGTAAGACAGCTTCCTGTTTTGTTTTCTGTTGTGAATATTTTTATATCCTCTGTCCAGTTAAGAGCCATTAGTATGCATGAACATGGCTTGTTTGGAGCTCTTTTTGTGCCCATAGTGTAGCACATGTAGAAGTGTTTTACCGAGCAGTAGTGCACAGATATAAGATTCCTGTAAGGTTCCTTTGGCATGCCGTGTTGCAGCACTTCAAAAGATACATAGTATTTCAGATTGAAAGTTTCTGCAGTGTTTATTACGGCACTGGTGCATGAGCAAAGTGTGAACATGTGTCTGTTGGACTGGGCTGTGTTTTTTTTCTTTTTTTTGCGAGTCTGCCTCAGTGCGCTCCGTTCATCGCCTTAAAAGGGGCTGTGTTACTGGGTGGAATCTTTTCACACTCACAGTATGTGTGACACCCAGGCCCAGGGAGAAGCAACCACTGCTAGGCTGCCTTCCTAATCAGCACAGTTCTCACTCTCTTCTACAGCAGTATAGCTACAGTTGTTGTTTACATGTAAGCTACAGATAGCTAAGGTTACTGTTTACAAAGCATAGTACTGTGCAAAAGTCAGAGACCATCCCACATTTATGTAATTTCCAGTCAGGAAAAAGCAAAAAACATATATATTAACAATTAAATATAGTGTCAAAACTGTCCTTTTTCTTTATTACAGCTTCTGTTCTTTTCAGGAGACTTGCTTTCAGTTTTTTAGTTTTATTCTACAGGAATATTTTTCCACACCTCCAAAGTCTTTGAAGTTGGTTGCGTTTTCTACACATTCAGTAGTTTGAGGTCTGGGCTGTAGGGTGGCCACTGGTACATTGTGGATCCACCTGTGTTTTTTTTCAGATCTGAAACAAGAGTGAAGCTTGATTTTCTCTCAAAGATGGAAGTGTTAAGTAATGTTTATCTGATGGGGATTTTGGTGGTCTGCCAGGTCTTGCACGGTTGTTAGGAGTCCCATTTTCTCTAGACCTTGTAATAATTTTTGAACTACAGTCTTGAAAATTCCTGTTTTTTCACCGACTTTCTTCTTCCTTACACAAGTGAATTATCTTTAATCTCATCAGAAACATCCGAAAAATTCATAACTTGTACTTAATGCTTTTGACTAGAAATTAAATAAATGAGGTCTCTGACTTTTGTACAGTGCTGCACTTCAGTTGTTATCTAGTATTTTTCAGAGCTTCCCATAGATATCATTGCAGCAGCCATGTGATATTCCATTTAATGTTATTGTCAGAACTCTCAGGATTGTGAAACGTTGCTGAAATGTTACAGTATTAGTTTACCATGCTTAAGCTCCTCTGTGTTTTGTGCAACCTACAAAAGCACAAAGCATGCATTGCATAGTTAAGCCATTACGTCACGACTGCGGCAATTAAGGGCTGTTTTTTGTGTGCGGCGCACTGAATGTACGTTCAGATAATTGCTACACAAAGCTGTGATCGTCCTAATTGAGATGCGCCCAAATAGAGGCCAGAGCAGATCAGCGCATAAAGGCCCTCAAGGACAAACGTCTGAATCTGTTCCCTTTTGAGGCAGCCAGAGGCTACGCTGCTGACACAAAACTCTTTCATGCACTCTAGCAGGAAAGCCCAGGCTCCGCCTCAGGCATATTTGTGAAAATAATAAACCGGTTTATGAGCAGACTGTAGTCTTACACAATTAGCTTGCAGTTGGCTTGCCCGCTAGGCCAGACAGGGGCTACTGTTACATAAACTTGGATCTGATTGATATTGTGGCGTGTTTCCATTGTGGGTTTATAGAAGGGACATGGATATTAGGGATGCACCATGATACGGAAAACAAATGAAAACAAATGCATAAAATATAAACAATTGTATTAATTTTGCTGCATTTGTATCCATTTGTAAATTTTGTAACTGCTTATGTATCTGCATTTAAATATCAGATATATCAGCATCCATTATGGATATCAATGAACGTGGAAAGCCACAGAAGACACTGGTATTAGATGCCTTTATCAATGGTTGTGACATATCTATATTTCGGGTCTCCATGGAGGTTAAAATAACAGTGGCTTAAATCTTTTGCATATCGCTGTTGTCGGAAGAAAACCTTGCATCTCTAAAATGATAAGTTTATGGGAGAAGGGAACTTACTTTACGTTTAATGTAAGTCAATGGAACCAGAATTTTTACCAAGTAATTTTGGGTCGTTTCTTTTGGTTCATTCTTCATGAAATTTACACACAATGTTAAGGACAACAGGCTTTTTCAAATTGTGTCAAAAACATGAGATGTGACGTTTTCTTCCAACAACAGCAATATGCATGAATACCTCAGGCAAGTGAAGTCATATACTGTACCCAGTCAGTGACACTATCACTAGCTCTTTTTGGTCTGACTGAAGAGCTTCGCGTGGAGGCTGCTAATTGCCTAAATGGGGTTCTTGACGTTCAAACTTGTCAGAACACCCAGGCCTCCACAGGAAACCCTCCACAATAATAGACTCCTAATGATGCATCACAGCATAAACGAAACCATTTTCATGGAGGATTTATGAATGGCAGCTTTTGAATCATCATGGAATGGAATGAGCGTTACGCCATTATGACTGTCACCGTGTGATGGATAGATGAAGATGTTTAGTCTAGCATGGATCCAGGCATTCGGGTGATGGCCGTTGTTTTCAGTAGCCTCTCATCTGTCACCTGTCGGGCAACCGAAAGGGAAAGGACACCGAGAGCTGTCTGACACCCGGCCAGCAGCAGTTAAGCAGGATGAAAGATTGAGCTTCGCCAGCGAGAGGAGTAAACTCCCCAGCCCTCAGTCAATACACATCAATGCTGACACAACATGGCCGCCACTCAGGGAGTTACCTGAGAGCGCTTTGCCCAAGTGATAGGAGATGGAGATTTCAGGCCAGCATTGTTGGGACTGCAATGGTTTGTTGTTACTAATCGCTCTGTTGTGTAGTTGCAACTTCCGTAATGTGTTTTGGCTTGTTGGTTGTTTGTTTAGCTCAGAACATTTCAAGATGTCGGCTGGGCTTTTCCCAGATTTTAACGTAATTTGACCCAAAGGTTACAGAGAGAAGGAAGGAGACCAGATGACGCATATGTCGTTTTGGCACCGAGTGGGTGGTACCAAAAAGGGCACAAGATATTTTGCATAAAATCTATCTCAGCAGTCGGCTATAAACATTTGCATGCTGTGAGCCACGGAACCAATTAACACTGATGATAACGTCCATATGCAAACGCACATAGACATTAACAGCACCCACACATAAGCACACAGGTCTACATAAAGTTTACATCATCTTTTTTGGTCTGCAGTACAAACCCGTCTGCTGCCATGCCAAAAAAAGTGCAGTTCACCAAAGCATACAGCATTTTATTTTGAAAGGACAGAGCAGAGATATGGCCAAACTAATGAAACAAACTAGAGCAGTCAAACACATTACAGCTGCCAACATTACTTCCTTTGGTCATTCTGCTTTTTTCTAAACAGCGTTTAGTTCCCCTAGTCTGTTCAGGGTTTTTCTCTAGCAGCCCCTGCCTCTTTGTATCCCTCCCTTCACTCACATTATAATTGGACCAAAGGAACTGAGCTGAGTTCATTCATGCTTCCCTTCTGATGCTAAGCAGCCGGCAGTAGAGGTGTTGTGTTCAAGCCTAATTGGGCTTTTCCAGGTCTCTGACTGCACAGGTTGTGGTCTGTCTGATGTCTGAGAAGTGTTTATCACAGGGCTGGAGGTCTCATTTGTTCACTTTCACACCAGGACTGGGGTTACTCAACTGACCACCAAAGCAAATGAGCTGGTCAGTGATGTAATTATGGTGTCTGCGAATTGGCCCGGAGCGAATGGTGTGACCGTTCCAATCATTCTCGTCGGAGGTGGACGCTTGAACCCCTGTTCTGATTAATCGGGAGTTAACTGCAGGGGCATTTGTCTTATTAGGGTAACTGGTGTTGCTTCGTTAATGTAAAATGATAAGACAGTGAGCCGTTTTTACTGCTGAAGGAATGAAGGGTTGATTGTTCACTGCGCCACCAGAAGGCTTACGGTTCTCAGATGCTCTAGAATGGAGTCTGATCTAAGCCATTAATAGCGCAATATAATTCTTAACCTTTAGAAGTCTAGAGCTATTAAGGTCATTTTGCTATGCATTTGATCTACATTATATAATTACTTATACATAATTACATAACTTATTACATTGTTCATTAACGTTCTGCGTGGACATGTTCATGTATCTCCTCTTCTACATTTCAGGCTCAAATGTGATATTGATCAAAAGTTTAGAATCTGCAGACTTTTATCACAGGGGACCTAAGAATATTAATAATTTATATTTTTGAAAAAAAAGGCATATTCAAATAGCTCACTCATGTTTATTTTTCTCTTTCACAGTTTCACTCCAGGAAATCTGTACCTTTGCGAGATTCGTGCGATTCAGGGAGCAACAGAGTTAAGAGCCATCTCGTCTCTCTCCGACTGAATACGACCCACTGTGACTGGTGTCCCCCTTGTGCTCTCGGCTCCCTCCTGGTTCCCGCGTGTTGAACCTGAGCCTCGGGATCGTTAATGGAGCAAAGGGACCTAACACGCCCTGTGCGGCCCAAAGGCAACGAGGAGTTCTACTCCACCGTGACCACCATCAATCGGGCTGACCTCACCGAGGTGGGCCTTCTGGCCGGTCCCGTGAAGGGCCTAGGCCTGGCTGGAGAGCAGCAGGAGCACGAGGAGGAAGAAGACCTGGGCCTGGGGAAGGATGTGGACGTCACCTCCAACGCCGACAGTGAGAAATGGGTGCAGGCAGACGGGCTGGAGGAGCAGGAGTTCTCCATCAAAGAGGCCAGCTTCTCGGAAGGCAGCTTGAAGCTCAAGATCCAAACCACCAAGCGGGCCAAGAAGCCGCCAAAGAACCTGGAAAACTACATTTGTCCCCCTGAGATCCGCATCACCATCAAACAGCCTGGGGAACAGAAGACCACCAAACATGCCAAGAACAGCAAAGGGGAGAAGGAGGAAGACAGAGGGCCTCCAAGAAAGAGGGTGAGTGTCTCCTGCAAAACGGGACAGGAATGTTTATCTCATTTAATATTAGGGGTGTAACAATACACAGTTCATAATTTGATTCGATTCACGATACTGGGTTCACGATTCAGTATACTGTCATGACATTTTAAACAAAAGTTAAATTATTAATAAGACTAATAGTAACACTAATTAGACTAGAGCTGACTTGCTTCATAAAGTCTCATTTAAATAAAAAAATTAATGAGATTTAATTGAAAAAAGAACATTTTGTACCATCGGTTGTGCTTCCGACCCCTTCCCCTAGCAGATGAATCCGACGACTGCGAGTGCGTTGAAAGATGTATGTAAATTTTTAAATATCTGTTTAATATTTCACTGACAGAACAGGCTTATATCTTGGCTTTAGGCTAATGTAGATAAATTTTAGTCTGCTGCATGCTCTTTGTCATTGAACATAAATTGTCAACAGCACAAATAAGATTAAGGTGAGCTTGTTTTATGCCAAAACGTCAGCAAAGCGGAACGCGGATGCCATACCGCAAGAGAATTTTGAACATTATTCTAGTGGCTCGCAGATCATTGTTAGCTTAAGGCTTTGAGTGTGGTGACCCTTATGCCATCTTTCATACCACACTCCATGTAGAAAGCTTGCTGTGCGTGGCTAGCATGGCACAGAAACATTGTGGTTACCGCTTCTGATCGTAAATGCGCTTCACGTAGCTGTGCCTTTATGGTAAAATCATACGGTTATTAAAGTGATTTGCTGCAATTGCGGTATTGCGGTGAGCTAAAGTCTGTAGAATCGGTGCTGTTTTTGAATCGGAAAGAATCCAGATTCTGATTTCAGTGCAATTTTTTCTGCCCCCCCCCCAGTGTCACAATGTATTGTTATACCCCTATTTGCTATCATATCACTAGTCTCCATCCTCCATAAGTATTACAATTATAAGCTGAAGCTAGTAGGAATTTGAATTTGACAGGAATTTGAGATTGTGTGACTAGAGGCTTTCAGAGTCTGCACACCCACAGCAGTACAGTGAATAAGAAAGCTTGTTTCTTTTGTTCAATCTCATTCTTCCATTTTTCTCCACACCAATTGCAAAGTGCTGCCTTTACCTCTTGTTCTACCTGCCTTCTTTGTGTCTGGCCCTCTGCTGTGGTTGAACTCATTACAGAATGCTAGGACGTGTGGCGCGTTGCCAAGGCGAGACAATTGTATTCTGCTGGCTGTCAGTTCTGTCTGTAACTGTTCAGCCGGCTGCATGTCAAATGAAGGGTGTCCGGGGCATGCTGTGGTGCAATGCAAGTCTGCCATTAACCTTTTGTGGCATTTAGACTCAATGAGTTCATCGACTTACATGTGGATCAAGTGTCTTGCTGCGCCCAGGCTTTTTTGGGAGATTTTGGCCTTTTGAAATATTGATGATGCGCTGAAATGCTATTTTTTAAATCTTTCAGTAAAGTGTGACTCTATAGTAATATCTATGCTCACGGCCAGATTGTTAGTCATAGAGTGTAGAATTCAGGCCAATGGATGAAGACAGTCTTAATCTGAATCCACAAAACCAGCCCTGACCAAGTATAAATTAATCGAGACTTGTATTGGATTTTGGTGTGATTTAGATAAAGGCAGTATTGTGTATGGCAGTAATTGCAGGCAAAGGACTTGACCTAACTACAGTTTTGTAACCAAAAGCCCAATTTAGTGCACCATAACGTGCGCCTGCAATTTTCCAAAACATACATGTTGTTCCCTTTTTTTGCTCTTCCTTGCCAGCTTCATGGCAGTAAAACGGCAAGAGTGGAGGATTCTGGGAGAGAAGGGGAGGAGTGGCTGGTGCTCCCAGAACCGGAGCCTGTAATTTCACCATAATTAGCGAGAAAATGCATGCTTACTGAATCAAAGCTGAACTGCCAGCATCAGCATCTTTCAGCGAGCGTACCACAAGCTGAAATTGATTGCTAAATTCAAGAACACTGAGGAATCTCTGGCATTGAAGTGCCCTCCGATGTTGCATTGTTTCAGCAAATGCTCTTTTGATGCATATGTATGCTACCTTTCATGCTTTCTTGCACATTCTGTTATCATCAGGTATTTCCGATCAGGTACAACCATCCACTGAAAAGTACTTTAGGGAAGCGTAAGTGGTCCTTCTGTTTTTTGTGAATTTTTGTTCAGTTTATAGTTTACATTATGCCATAATCCACAATGACAAGTCTGCATAACGTTAATGAAGACCTTTTTGTGTCTTGAGTGGGTTTAGAGACGTAGCCTCATAACTCCAGCGCAGAAGCGAAATGTGGACACCAAACATGTCTTGGCTGATCACCTACATCTAGGGTAGGTGTAATTTAAATTTTTCAGCCTGCTTAATGCGTATAGAGATACGGAGTATGGAGGGATAGATATATACATATCTTTCTGGTGGTAGACCAGAAATTTAGCCATCAACAAAGCCTTGGAGGTCCATTTTGATTTCAAAGCATTTGATACAAACACAGGGGGAGGGAAAAAGAGTGACCAAGAGGGGGTGGGAGAGAAAGGGGGGGCGCTGTAGGAGCAACAGGGGCTGGAGGCGGGAAGCCTGAAGTGCAGCTGTCTCTTTCTGGCAATCTCCACATTGACCACAGACAGAAGGTCAAAAAGGGCAGAAGGAGGAACAGAGGAGGTGGCCCCACGCCACCCTCTAAAGGATGGCCATGTCTATAGAAAAGTGCTCTAAAAGGGGTGAAGAAAAGCCAAGCCCCAGCCCCCCTAACCACACGTATACACACATACACACACTCACGCACACAGACCCCCACTCCCACAGCGCAGATGTAGCCCCATTTGCCCTGCTAACGGATAGCGAAGCTAAACTCCTCATTTGAAAGCACGCCATTAGAAAGCGAGTTCGATCCTGGTCTTTTCTATTTTTCGGGGGCTTTAAGCGTCATGCCCGCCACCTCCTCTCATCTCTCAGTTACAAGCTGCGTGGGGTCAGGGGTTAGTGCGTAATTGAAACCAGTCAGTGCTCGCTGAGAATAGGGCTTACCTCAGCCCACTCGGCCTGTGACAGCTGCTCCCCGGAACAGCCCCCTTTCCCTCCCCTCGCTAATGAAATCACACTGCCAGACAGTGCTGGACAATATATCTTCTATACTGGTATTCCAGCGTCACACAGCAATGTTGATTTTTAGTTTTAGCAAGAGGAAACAAAAACTTAGTTAACTCTAATGCATGTCATTTGCTAGATACATTTAAAATATATGGGACAGTGCAAAACTTTTGCCACCTGAGAAGATTAGAATGAAAAAGTACTGATCTGGGCAGTAAGCATTTATTTGTTCAGAGAACAGTAATATTAGAATAAATACAAATAATATTAATAAAATAAATACCAGTTTTTTGTATGTCAAAGTTTTCATTTAACCATTTCCAAACCTCTCCTCAAGGAAGCCCAATATTATTTTTAGTTATCATTCAATACCTGGTTTGGCTAATCAGTCCTTCATTATGTTGAATCAAGCTGGCGATGGAATTTAGCAAATCTGTGTGCTGGCTGGAACCAAACTTTGTTCTTTACATGATAACAAGTTAACTTCACAAGAGAACAGTTTCTTATTAGCTCGAAATTCTTGTTACTGTTTATTGTATTTATGTTTATTTGCATCTGTCCTAATTATATGTGTTGTTTTCACAAGACAAATGGTTTAAAAAAATATGCTTATGTGCCCAAAACTGTACAAAAATGAATATATAAACAGTAGTTTGATTTCTGGAAATCTGTTTTCTGTCTGGTTAACATTTACAATGCTGTGTAAAATTCCTTTTGGAGTAATTTTAAAGAGGACTAGACAAACAGCCAAAATAAAAAAACAAGCAGTTTGAAATGAAATTTTCAGTATCAATATTATGCTATGATATATTCTGACAATACTGTGGTATCAAATTGTATCAATACTGCTCAGCACCAGTGGCAGGTTTCAACATAAACAGCCACTTTTGATGAATTAACTTGGTCTCTGTTATGGGGATTACCAGCATCCCTCGCTGAGGCCGTTCCGTGAGCATTGCGGTACGTCGGGTGGGTTGGAAAACGAGTGTAATGTGACAGAAATGTTCCTCGCCCACACAATGGTGCCCTGTGACCGCTTGGCCAGGAATAGAGCTCAGCTCTCCTCGCCTTTGTGAAAAGCCCTGCGCCTGGATGTGCAATTAGACAGTCTGAATATGCAGAGGTCGGGGTGCGCTCTGTTTGTCGTTTCCATTAGCCGTCCGCAAGCTTTTACAAATGGTGTCTGTTTTTTTTTTTTCTTACTCCAAAAGCTGAAGAGAAATATTCAGTGGCCAGCCTAACCACCCCTGTCTTGTTCAGAGGGCTGGGCTTTGAAAAACTAATTTGGCCTTGGATAATTGTGCTAAAATAATAATTATTGACAACTGTTTTAAAAGGGAAAAAGAAGCTATTTAGAATTAGACTCACAGATCAGGTTAATAAAAAATGTATGTGGATGTCCATTGAGACCCACTAGTCTTGAAGTGTATCCTGTATTTGTCTCCAGTATCACCCCTGTGGTTTAACACTGTAGAGGGTTCATTGCGATGACAAGCCGGATAGAAACCAGATCGATGTGCGCGCGTGTGTACGTGTGTGTGCTGTGAGAGGCAGACAGGGGAGATCTTTGCCCCGGTGCTGCTCCATGTTTGACGACAGCGCTTTGATTGTCAGCCGTTTCCGCCGGACTGCCTGTGCTCAGTGGTGTGTGTTTGTCAGGGGAGAGCGAGGGGAAGGCTCCGACTGCTCAGCCTACAGGCTTCGCACTCCCGAGGCATTTTGAGAGCAGCAGAGTGGGCCATTTTCCCAGTCCTGCCTGTCATTTTCCCATGTCCGAGCCAGCTGTGCTGGTGGAGGTGGTACTTTTCTGCCCTTCTGGACAATCAATTGTGGGGGTTTCTCGTGAATTAAAGGCTAGAAAGAAGTTCTTTAGTTTTGCGCTGCAGCTACAAGGCTAATGTAGCTAATAAGTAATGG